TGAGATGAAGCATCTCCAAAATAGTGATCATATATTGGAGCAATGGATGGCTCAGGCAATCCCTTCATCATCTTCATAGCCTTCTCCAGCTTGCAATGGTCGTTGCCAATGGCAGTATGCACTGCAGATAGCTCATGATAGAACCAGTCATTCCATCCTGGATTAGCCATTGAACATGCAAACACTCATGATCTCTCATCACTAATGACTTAGAGCATGCAAGGCACTATAGTCAGAATGGGGCTGTGTCATCTGATCCCATTCATCTGTGCCATAAGCACATGGACTCATGATGCTGGTCCTGAATTCAATCTAATTAATTACAATAACAACAGTCATGCATGACATGTAGTGCACTAACTAATGTGCATTAACTGATGCATCGCACTTATCTCACCAAGTGGCAATCGGGCAGCTTCCATGTTCAACCCTATCTCATCGATCACTTCCTGCAGTGTGGCTCCATTGTCATTCCTCGTGTCCCAGACTTCACCTCAATTTGGTGATGCAAAGCAATGATAATCATTTGATCATGTCCACTCATTTGGTCATGCTCATATGGTCATGCCCAGGTGCTCTCATCAGGCTTCAATACCATGTGGATGGCTGCACATGCCACCTGGATCCAGCTCAATGTGCCTTAGTTAGTCTCATGTGTGGCCCAAGCTGATACCAAAAGATACAACCTAACTAATCATTTGATTAGTGCACTACTCAACCTGCCACTGTTTAGACATGTTGCAAATCTCAATCCATGAGTCTTTGCATGCACCATGCACGCACACATCATGCTCATACAGGAGCCATGTCCTCATTTGGGATGTCCTCTTCTTCATAGGGCAGCTCCTTGATGCCCAGCCTAAGTTGCCATCAACTAATCACTGAATGGATTGCATTGGCTCAGCTCATATCAGTTCATGTATAATTATTGCCCAGAGGCTCATGCACACCCATCCCCTCAAGCTCAACAATCTGCCCTTGAGATGCCTGGATCGATCCCTCACTCCTCCATATTTCTCATCCATCCTGGCAAGAACAATGAATAATGTGTTTAAGTGCATGAAACCCATGTCATGTTTGAAGCCTGTCCTCATTTCCAAATTGCTAATCTTCTCACTGCACATTTGCACCCTGCTGATCATCTTGTTGATGTACATCATCATGTGGAAGCATATCCACAAGGCCATGCCCATCACCCATGTGAGTGTAATGATCAATCTCATGTCCTCAATCAATCAGTGCAAATGCAAACAAATTGATTAACATGTGCAATGCCCAAGCTTAATTGCCAAGGCTCAGGACGCTGCCATGCCATTTGAATGCTGCATGCCAGCATGACCACCAGCAGCATGGCCTTCATGCTCATCATAGCCATTTGCATGGTCTTCAGGGTTTTCATGGCCATCACACTGATCCAATGAGGATGAGGCTATGCTTCTATAGCTGATGAGCTTACAGAATGGGTGCAGGCTGGTGAGTTTCAGCTGCCATTGGATTTGAGAAGAAAAGCCATGCTGAAAGACATGCAGATGAGTGATGAGGCCAGAAAACAAAGAGACAAGATGAAAGCAAAGAAGGCAAAGAGAAAAGAGGAGAGAAAGCAAGCAAAGAAATTGGAAGCTGATGAGAAGGAGGAGATCAAGAAGGCTTTGATGACTGATAGCAGACATGAGCAAATGATTGCCCAAGTGCCATCAGCATCCACAAAAAAGAAGAAGAACACAGTGAAGAAGAAAAAACTTGCAAAGAAGATGATGAAAAATCAGCTCAAAGACAAAATCAGAAAGATGGCTGCCACCAAAGCCAAAGAGAAGATTGAGGATAAGCAGCAGCAGCCCAAGGCATTAGCTTCACATCCAGCCAAAGCAAAGCCATTGCCTGATGAGCCCCCATTGCCACCACCATCATCCCCCCCAGCGCCATTGGAAGAGCATGAGTTGGACATTCCTTCTTCCAAGCTGAGAGTGGTGAGTGAGCATGCTGGCTCTTCATTGTTTGGTAGGCAAGGCACTGCCATGGGGGCATCAGAGAAAGCATTGCATGTGCTCCTTGAAGCTGATGGGCTTCATAAAAAGAATAGGACTGCATGGGTGGATAGGAGCTACCTGGAGCCAGTGGAAGGGGATAAGAAGCAATGGAAATGGCCCCAGCTGACATTGCAGAGATGGCACAAGCAAGAGATCCTGCTAGATGCAGGGATCATATTTGAAGACCCTGCATTGCTGGATTCATGGGGTGAGCTGGAAGCTATCAAGCTTTTGTGCTAACATTAGTTAGCATTTTTGGACCCATTTGTTTACCCCCCCTTATTAGTCCGGTCTGTGCTGAGCATGTTTTTTTTTCATTGGCTGATCTGAGGAAAGACCATTCAGATCTGGACATTGAGACTGTGGCCATTGCTTATGGTCTCATTAGATGGATGGCTACAAAGAAAACCATGGGAGGCATCCAGGATGTGGAGTTCATCCATCCAACTGCGCTGCATGGCATTCTGTCTGAGGATGCTCAATACATGAACCAAGAGGGCATCAGTTCATATGTGCTGAAGAAGATGAAGGGCAAGGCGCAGCAGGGTTGCATTTGTTGATCATTGTTTGGTTGACTTTTCTTTTTTTTACCACCCTGAGGCCAAATGCTTTCTCATGCCATTTGCTGCTGGTTACCATATTGTGCTCCTGGTAGTGGATTTGAGGCCAGGCATATCCAAGCAGCAGCAGATCAGATATTATGAGACACTGACAACTATGAGTGAGCCATGCTTGCACAAGGCACATGCAATTTTGGCATGGCTTTTGAACAACGAAATCGTGGATGAGGACTTCTTGATCAGGCCTCCATTGGACAGAGCCAATGCATGCATCAGGCAGCCTGTTGGCTCCAATCTGTGTGGATGGTATATCATGGCATACTTGGAAATGGAGGTTGCCATGTTGTCTGGACATGGCCCTGCTGCCATTGGGTGGCCTGAAGAGGCCATGCAAGCTTGGCATGCCAGGATGCAGAAATTCATGCCCCAGTTGCAGAAGGAGATAGACATGAGGAAGAAAGAGGTTGCCAATGGCATTGTTCTATTGGAGAAGTATGGCCAGAAGGTCATGCAGGAAAGAAAGAAGACCTATGATCTGGCATGCAACAAAATGAAGAAGGGTGAGGCATTGACTTCATTGCAGATTGAGGCCATGGCCATTGTGAATGAGAATTCCAAGCTGCAGATTTCAGATTTGCCTGCAGAGTATCAGAAGGCCATTGAGAAACTCAAAGACTATGAGGTGGGAGTGTGCAGTAGATGCAGGTTCCAATCAGGCTGCTTATCATGCAGCATTGAGAAGTGCACAGCCTATTGGATGAGGAGGGAAGGCAAGAGATTAGGAAGAAGCATATGTGCAGAGTACATGCTGTGAATTGCATGCATGTGAGTTGTCAATGTGGATGACATTTTCAGCCATTTCTAAGAAACGAGCTCAAGAAGCAGTGGAGAAAATGAGATAGCAGCAGCCATCTGGGGGAGGGACCGGTCTAATTGGGGGGGGTTGTTTTGGAACCCTTTTTTATTTAGGGGTTTTTTTTTGAGATATGAATTGTTTAGTATTGGGGGGTTCACCCGGACCGGACTAATAGGGGGGGGATATCTAATACGGGGTCAACATTACCACGCGTAGCATTTGCGAAAGCGACGCCCAGTGAAGCTAGCCATGGTGTCTATGGTGCCATAACGCCATAGGGGTGCCATTTGGAGCCATGCAAACTTGCTGGGGGCTCTCCGTTGGATCCAGTGAAGGGGCAATCCAGCAAGGTCCTGCAAGCATTAGAAGAAAACAACTTTTCTCGGGCAGGTTTGCTTGCGCCCCGAGCGCCGGCAGGCTTTACGATTTTGCTGACAACATAGGGGTACTGGATATTTGTCAAAAAGTAATTCAGCTTCAGTACGCCAACGCACAAACGAAACAGCTCCTCCAATCGAATCTGAACAAATAGTGTCATGTGCTGACACAAGCCACTCGCTGGTCAATCCATCCAACAGGCGACGAACATGAATGTAAGAGCCACATGCCTGGGCCAGTTCGGCTGTTTGCGTACGATGCGAAGTTTGTTGCTCTTTGGATCTGGCCTGTCAAACATGGCATGGAGCCAGGGTGCACAACCCCCCAATCAATTCGAAGTCTAGGCTCATGACTCATGGAAGTTACCCACGTTCATTTCTGCCAACCTGCGGCGACGTGTGACGCACCCTTTTTCGCCTCGCCGGGTGCCCGGGTCGGATCAGAGCGACGGAGCGATCTGTTTGATGCGCTCCGCACATGACCAATTTGCCTCATTGGTTTCGGGCAGCCATGTGGTGAAGTTTGAGCTCCAGTATAGGTACCCTGGACATGTCCCTTGCTGCACACACCCACCCACAAGCCGCCACAGCTGCCATTTGTCCTCTTTAGGAGAAACGCAACCTGCTGCTGATGCTATCTGCAATCCAGCCAGGATGATTGGTGACACCGTGCACTCACTTGGTCCAGGCACCTTCGAAAGCCAACCGGACTGTTGACTCGGAGGTTTAGTTGTTTCGTTGTTTCAAGAGCATGTCCAGGATTGAGTGGGATGATGTGAAGACTCTTTTCCCCGTTGTCCTCTTGAACAAACAGCCAAATTGCCAAAGCTGCAAGAATCTTGCTGCCAAATCCACAAAGAGGTGATGTTGCAGCCAGCGCCGAGTACACTGCGAAAGTTGGCACTCAGTGGCATGCTCTTGCTCTCACTGTGGCTTTCTGGGGCCTGCAAATGACTTCCCGCAAGTCGTGCAAAACTGCTTTGGATTGCGATGGGAGAAAGGACTGACCTTGTCTACCGGGACCAGCCCGGGTGACAAACCATAAGAAGGTTGCAACCAATTTGACCACCATGTGGCAACCGCAATGTGCCACGAAGTGTGGACAAACCAACATGCCCGAGAGAGCGTGCGACGCCATCGGAAAACTCCACCCTGCGCCTTTTCTAAATTCCGTCGATCTTCAGGTCCAGTCCTTGGGCTTTCTTCTCCGCAACCACCTTCCGGAGGGCCTGGCCCAACCAGAGTCACTGTGGGCTGTCAGCTCTTCTGTATCGCCCCAACCACGGTGAAAAATCGGAAGTTTGTGAAGAAATTCAAGCGAGCCTGTCTTTCCTGCCCAGGCGCATGCTCCAAGTCAGGACCCATGGCTCTGAAGGGAATCCACCTGGAATCAGAGGCTTCTTCACCTGGAATCGGAGGCTTCAGCTCGTGGCTTGAAACCTTTCCTCTCACGACAAATGCCAGAGATTCAGAGAAAATGAGTCTGATAAAGTCAAAGATTGGAAACTGATCTGATGATCTGATTTCTGCAACGTGAGAAAATAAAGCTGTATGTCCCGAAGCTACAACTTCAAACCTCCCATTATTGGTCACTGCACCAGTCGGACAGCTTTGGGAACATCTCAAGAAGTCTTTAGAATCGTCACCCGAACTGAAGATATGTTTGAACAAATCCATTGTTCCTCACGAGTGCTCCACGAGTTCGACCGGACCGTCGCCACGCCTCGCGGCCCGTGTCACCGATGCTGATTGTAGAGAGGCCGATCTTGGCAATGGTTTTGTTGCTCTTGAGCGCTTTTGCGATCGCCTGGCAGAGCGTCGAGGCCGACCCTGCAAATCCCACGGCTGGAAAGAAAAAGCACACCCAAGGTTCAGATTTCACTCGGGATTGGAGACTTTAGCTTGTATCAACTCATCTTTCCTTCGGTGAGAAAACAAACACAATGATAGCAATAGCATTCCATGAAGAAAAAAATCGAAGAATAGAAACACATGCTGGAATTGTGTGTCTCCACTTTTTGACGGCAACCGTCCTATGCACTTTGGAGATCCTTCGAGAGATGCAAGAGAATGTCTAACATCTGAGAGAAACAGTGCTTCGGTTGAAGGCTGGAAATGCCAAGTGGGAGGCACCCAAACCCTTAATAACAAAGTGGATTACCTTGGACAAATTGGGAACTGAAACTGAGCCTCAGGTCAAGTCCTTGGAAATTGAGCCCAAGAAACTTGAGAAGCTTGCCAATTGCGATCTTTCGAGACGATGCAGACCACAACCATTGATAGACTGCCTGCAGGGCGTCCTGGTGCGCTTCCAATTGGTCAAGGCGGCGAGGAGAAGGCTTTGCAGCCGGAGACAGCGAGAGATGATGTGGTGAAGCTCAAGAATGGCATGCCTCGGCGTGTGGAGAAGAGGCTGCAGGCTATGGGCTCTTTAGGAATCAGGCTAATGGGCCTAAAGGCTTGAGCGAATGGAAGACGGATAGTCAGTCGTCACATTGGTAGTGGAGCAGAAAATCAAGGCCTTGTTGCGGGACTCCGGCTTCTAGCTGTGGTGGAGCTCAGGACGTGTGTGGACGACCCGCCCAGTGGCGGAAATGGAAAGGACAAGCGCACCGAACGCCAGTGCCGATCTTTGTTGGGCGCCCGCCTATGAGGAAGCTGCAGGTGTGGTTGAGGTGCACGAGATTACCTCCAGAGCAACAAGCCCTGGCCCTCTCTAGCATGGAGATTTGAGGAGGATTGAACTTGGACGGGCTGGCAACGGTCGAGGGCATTGTCCACTTCCTTGACCTGGAGCTCACATAAGGCGCGACGCGTGACGGAGACCGGCGGGCATGCAGCCGGACAGTAGCGGGCTATGACGGGTTTCAGAATTGTTTGAAATGTGCGGAGCCACACGCTGATGGAGCCTCAAGGCCACACCGGTCTGGTCTAGGCTGCTGTGTGGGCCATCCTCGGCCTGCATGGTCGGAGCTTCTTGGTGGAGGTCTCCATCGTGCACTGGAGCAACAGTGTTGGATGTCCAAGGACACAAGGCTGACTTTCAGTCGCTTGATATGTAAAAAGACTTCCCAAAACTATTCTGTCCACAAAATAAAAAATAAGCGCCAAAACATGCAATCATAGTATGAAAAGCAAGCAAAAGTCGCTAAGCGCCTGCAAAAGTTTAACGAGTCTTAACCTCAATCTATCAAACAATCCAACAGTCTTCATCTGCCAAAAGCTCTAAACAAACTGCAACCCGCACAAGAACTGCGGGATACCAGGTCATGATGGTGAAGCGCGAGAATAGCGACAAGTCGAGAGACAAGGCGCTCGAGAAGGGGATTTCCTTGGAAAAGAATCCCGACGACGAGACGGAGCTCTACAACGGCGCGGGGGTGAGGCAGTGGCAGGAGCAGCTGAAGTTCGAGGCTGTGAAGCCCCTGTCGGTTGCCGAGTCCAATTGGGTGAGCGAGAACGTGGAGGCGAACCGGATCTTGAAACGCCGCTAAGAGTTTGAGCAAACTGGTGAAAACAGATAGGCGGTAGCGATCGTTTGTGGCTGAGGTCCGCCACAGGGGTGCCCTGCGACATATTATATGTCTCCAAAGCATTCAAATAAGTCCAAGGACAACATCATTGCAAATATTCACATACTATGACATACTGCAAGCTTGGGTGATGGTGAAACATACTTTATAGACAGCGTTATAAATACTTTACAATCTGACAATTGACCCAAGCCTGTTCGTACCGGAGAGTGGCCGATGGAGATCAAAGAGACAGACCTCCGATTACGAGCACTATCCCCGGAGCTGGAGTCTTGGGTACATCTCAAGCAGTCAAACATAATTTTGGCTGAACGAACCCATCTTTCCCCACATTTCCAGCAGTGCGCTCCACGAGCTCGATCCGCCCCGCCGTCTCCGCGCCTTGGCGCCCTGGTCTCCGATCGCGTTCCTATTGAGCACAATTTCTTCTTTGAAAATTCCGTTGGCCTTCAGCATCTCAGCGATCGCCTGGCAGAGCGTCGATGCCAACCCTGAAGGACCCACGGCAAGCACAAAAAGGTTCTAGAATTCCCTTAGCAACTAACAAGTTGGTGACACAATGATGACAATAGCACTCCAAAGCAACCTGAACGGGCATCGTGGACTGGGACTCTCCGAAGGGCCCTCTTTGGGCCACCAGACCCGTAAGGCACGGAGAGTGTCGGGACGCCCTGATCCGAAGGGGCGACAGAGCCAGAGAGCTGAGAGAAGGTTGAGGGGCCTGGTCGTCAAAACCAGATCTTGAGGCATGCGTTTGAGAGTCCGGATCGGCCGAGCCAAGGCTCCCTGGCTAGGGGCTGCTTGGCACCAGGACCGGAAGCTCTGGAGGCAGAGCGAGATGATGGAGCCTCAACCTGGAGCTCAAGGGCATTGCTGGGAGGTGCTGGATGGAAGAAGGCTGCTGGGTTGCTGAAGAGCCTGAGAGGTAGTTGGAAGATGCTTTTGGGCAGTCGGAAAGGGCGGTTGCCGCACACCCAAGGGTTGAGGAATCCTACGCCAGCGGATGAGGTGATGACGACTGAGGCTCGCGAAGCGGATTGGTGGTGGACGTTTCCTATTGGCTCGAAAACTGAAGCTAAAGGAGATGTTCTTGCAGGCGGAGGGCAAGTTGGAAGAGGCGCCCAGCTGGCAACCATGGAGGGATACAGACGCATATTGCCCAGACGCGAGGCCTTTGGAGCGAAAGGCTGCGACACTCAGGGCCGTCTTTGCATAGCTGCCATGCCCAACTGTCACGAGGTTGAGGCGTGCGTGCACCCCGCTGAGGAGGGACGGCGAGGAGGTGTGGGGTTGCTCTGGATTCACTGAGTTTCATAGCAACTCATGACAGTATTCCAAAGCGATGCACAAACATATTCAAAGACCACGACCGCTGCCTCGGCGACGAGCGCGGCAAGAACAGGGCATTCTTGGGCAAGGATGGCTGCCAAACCCTCGGAGTGAAAGGCTGCTTGGCACTCTGGAAGATGGGCCAGGTCCTCGTGAGGCCTGGGCTCGAGCTCGAGCCGCAGGTGAGGAGCAGCGAGCGTATATGACAATGATGTTGCTTCCAGCAGCTACGAGTGATCCGGGCAAAGGCGAGGGGGCTGGCCCAGCCCACTCCAAAAAAAACCGAGGAAGCGGAACCCTCCGCGTGGACCCGCAATGACTGCAAGAAAGGGCCACGCATTGTCTGACCGTTGACCGGATCCCCGTCATCTCTGGGGACAAACGGGCTTCGCTGTGCGCTTGAGATCGGTCCTTGAGCTGACGGACCTGTCCTGGGGTGTTGGACACCTTGTGTGGAATGAAGGCCTGGCCGATCGAGTTGAGCGTTCCTACGGCATGAAGGGATGTGCGAGGGCCACCGACATCTTTTGCCTTGATAGAGCTGGCGGCCCCGCTCGCAGGGTGCGTGGACACCTTCACAGAGCTGCTGGCCTGCAAGCTCCGAGCCATCATAGGCAGACTAGGCAGAAACGCAACTCGAGGTCTAGAGGTTGTTGAGGCATGTCTGCACTCCCACCACTGACAACGCGAAAGACGCTCTACATGGATCCGGAAAATGCTGCCCTTTCAGATGGAGAGACCGCCAGTGATCCGGAAAGCTCTGTGGCAAAGGAGATTAGATGCGAGAAGCTCCGGGGCCGAACGCTTTGACGCTGGGTGTGGACCTCACCCCCTTCGGGTGAGGCCAGGGGGCCCAGGTAGAGGGCAGAGGAACTATGGAGCTTCGGCGCAGGTGGTCGCCAAGCTCAAGTGCTACAGCCTTCCGCCACCGCTCCAGACTTGGTGGTTCACCTCCAAGGAAACTCGGCAGTCGGCAGCGGACTGGATGACTCTGCGAACCGGATGGGAGCTGCTTGACAAAAAACGGAGCGTGCAGAAGCGAAGGTGGCGTGATCAGGAGGCTGACACGAAGGCTACTGGCGGCAGCCGAGTTGGGGAACGAGCTTTGCACCTTGGCGGCTTTGGCGTGCTGAAGGGCAGACATGCAAGGGTCTGGAGAACGAAGCGGGAAAAAGGTGATGATGAATGGAGCTGTGGCGAGGTTGCCCAAGTTCGCCAAGGTGAAGAGGTGAAGGAGAGGCGCCCCTGACGTCGGAGGTGAAGAGGGCATAGTCTACTGCAAGCTCGCGGAGGGAGATCATGGCCATCACAAGGAGTGAGCGGAGAACGCGTGTGCGGGGGCGAATGGGACGTGGAATACCCTGTGAGGAGTGGCTTGTTTGGTCCAGGAGTTGGAGGACACGGAGCCGAAGGGAGACCTACGAGCACGAGCGGGTCGGCTACAGCCTCCTTAGCGGATCTTTTGGGAGGTTCCGGAAAATTGCAGGCAAGGTGGTCGAAGTAGTTGGCCCGCCTGCAGCGCTGACATTAAGGGTTCAATCGCTGTGGGAGGCATCCAAACTTCGAATACCAAAGTCGGCAACCTTGGAGAAATTGGGGCACCAAAGCTGAACCTGGGGGGGTTTGAGAAGCTTGGCCATTGAGATCTGCCATTGAGACATGTGAGATGTTGCTATTGAGCATGCTTACCTCCCATCCTAGAGAACAGTCAATATAAAGGTAAAGTAAATCACTTCTTTGCTGAGTTCTGCAAAGTACGTCAGTGTGCTAAGAAGCTTTTATGAAGCAAGAAGCCGCCCTCGTGCGCTCCAAAATTGCATGCCCATGCGCTCCTTTCATCACATCTGTCGCAAGCTAAGAGGCTATAGGAATATATAACTCTCAAGCGCCACTGGCCGCTGCGACCCAACCCGGAAGCCGGAAGCCGGAAGCTGGAATACGATACAGCTTGCAAAGAGCTCGGCTGAAGCGAAGAAACCCAATCGAGACTCTAGACTAAAACCAGCACGTATTCCCAATGCAACTTTCAAACTATACTCCACGCGCTGGTCAAACATGCGGCTGTCCTAGCATACCAATCATCCAATCGGCCACAGGTGAGGAATATAAAGCTGCATGCTTCCAAAACACCCACAAAAGCACCAGTCGGTAAGTTTGGGTACATCTCGGGCAGTCAACAAGAATCGTGACCCAAACTGAATATATATTTGCAAGCCGATTGTTCCTCACACTTCTAGATGCGGCCTCCACAAGTTCGACCCGCCCGTCGCCACGCCTCGGCGCCCGGATCATCGATGTTGTTTTCGCCAAGGTTGATCGTCACGATGGTTCTGTTGCTCTTCAGTGCCTCAGCGATGGCCTGGCAGAGCGTCGACGCCGACCCTGTAGGACCTATACGGCTGGAAACACCCAAAAGTCCCAAAAGGCTGGATTTTGAAGATTTCAGTTTGTAGCAACTACAACAAGTTGGTGAGAAACAATTCGCAATGACAACAGTATGTCAAAACGATCGAGAAAATGGTCACTGGCATGGATTATTGCCTCGACTTTCCGATGGCAACCTCAGAGGATTAACTGCCATTCTGACCCTGGAAAACACGGGCGACAGCCCAAAACAATTGGATAGCTTCAGAGCTTGTCAGCCCGCCATGATAGCCTTTGCGCCGGCAAGAGGTGGACATGGCCAGGAAGCTTTGCGGGAGATGCTGCGGCAGAGGATCTGTGAAAATGTTGCCTTCCGGATGGAGGGACCGCAGCCGTGGTGCCCGCTCTGGAAGGGCGAGAAGTGGATTGGGGGTGGACGTTTCCTATTCGCTGCAGAAGCTGAAGCTGAAGGAGATGTTCCTGGAAGTTCCGAAGGGCATAGTGGAAGAGCGAAATGGGCCCTCAACCTGCAGCGCAAGATCAGGGAGCTCGGGGGTTCGGGAACTTGATGCCTGGGCTCGAATCCAAAAGCCGATCCTCGAGCTCAAGCTGCTGGGGAGCAGCGAGCGCACATACACTCGAACTCGTTGGGCGACGCCAGCTGCGAGTCTAGAGACGAAGTCTTGCCCTCAGGCCTCGGGCGGCCCTGACGCTTTACTTTGACTATCCTGGCAAAGGCCCTCGATCAGCGCGGCCCCACTCCAAGTTGATGAAGGGAGGCCCGAGGAAGGGGAACCCGACCGCCACGACCTCACAAGGAGAAAAGGCGGGGCCAGCATTTGCCACCCAAATGGCTGCAAGAGGTGAAGAACACGAGCGCTGCTAAATGGCGGAGCCACGCATGAAGTTGAAGAGATGGAGTGACTGGAGTGGGGGTGGTCCGATTTTGGCACAAGGGTCGATGTGGCTGAGGCAGGTTCGAGGACCCGGATTGTTATCCCTGGGCTTCCTCGCGCAAACGGGCTTCGCTGTCCGCAGCTGAGGAGAGACATAGTTCTGATAAAGGGCGAAAATTGAATCTGATCGGCTGATTCTGAAGCTGCGAAAATGAGGATGCATTCATGTCCAGTGCAGAGATGTCACTTCAAACATCACATCACTGCACCAGTCGGTGAGCTTTGGGTGTCTCAATCTGTCTTGAAGCGTGACTCAAACTACGGTCCGTCAGAGCGATAACAAACTGTTTGAAGCAAGAAACCGGACCCTCGTGCGGCCTGAAACAAATTATGTGAGACCCTCGAACGTTCAGGGGCTCCAAACATGCACGCCGTCCCCAAGTCACGCGAACTCCTTTCGCCACATCTTTCGCTGTGCCAAGCGGCGCTGGCCGGCGCCACCGAAGCCGGAACCCGGAACCCGGAAGCAGGAAGTGTTGGAGAATCGCGGTCTCCCTCTCACTCATTCAGAAAAAGCAAGAGTCAAAATGAATCCTAACCCGCACTACAGACACTGTTGATCAATGGGCGAACCACGAGTTGGATCCGACCCCCAACACCGCGCCTGGGCACCCTGGTCTCCGATTCTGTTGTCGTCCAGGATTATCTCTTTGGCACATTTGTTGCTCTTCAGCGCGTCAGCTATCGCCTGGCACAGTGTTGACGCGGACGCACGGCTGGAAAGAAAAACACGCCCAAAAGCTTGAACAAAAGAAACACATACTTGTATTGGCATCGATTTCCTCGATTTTCCAACGCCAACAATACTATGCATTTTGAAGACCCTTCGAGAGAGAAGGCAGCCATTCTGGCAAGTTGTGCTTCGGTTGAATGCTGGAAAAAGCCAAGCGGGAGGCAGCCAAGCCTTGAAGTCCATAACCTTCGAGAAAGTGGGAACTAAAACAAGGGAGTGACGCAAATGCCCCAGCCCGGGGGAACCTGGTTGCGAGCTAACCCAACCGCACGGTATACTTGCCGGGGTTGGTGGACATTTCCCATTGGCTCGAAAACTGAAGCTGAAGGAGATGTTCCTGGAAGTGGCGAGGGGCATATTGAAAGAGGCGCCCCGCTGGCAACCGTGGAGGGATGTGCTCAGGAGCAGACGCATGAGAAGGCCTACTGGGCCTCGGGTCCCGAGGTGGTCCAACCTTGAGGCGGCTCAGGCCGTTGAGGCTTCCTACCCAGCAACTTTCTGCCAATATCACTTTGAAACCACTTCTTTGACGGGAAAATCACTTTGAAATCACTTTTTGGAAGGAAAACCACGTTGACATTTGAAATCACTTTTGTTGAAGGAAAATCACGTTGAAATCACGTTTGTTAAAAGAACATCAGCTTGAAATCATGTTTTTTGAACGAACATCACGTTGAAATCACTTTTGTTGAAGGAAAATCAATTTGATATCATTTTTTTGAGGAAAATCACTTTGAAATTATTTTTGCTCGGGGAAAACCACTTTGAAATCACTGAAAATCAGATTGAAATCACTTTTTGGAAGGAAAACCACGTTGACATTTGAAATCACTTTTGTTGAAGGAAACTCACGTTGAAATCACGTTTGTTAAAAGAACATCAGCTTGAAATCATGTTTTTGACCGAACATCACTTTGAAATCACTTTTGTTGAAGGAAAATCAATTTGATATCATTTTTTTGAGGAAAATCACTTTGAAATTACTTTTGCTCGGGGAAAACCACTTTGAAATCACTGAAAATCAGATTGAAATCACTTTTTGGAAGGAAAACCACGTTGACATTTGAAATCACTTTTGTTGAAGGAAAATCACGTTGAAATCACGTTTGTTAAAAGAACATCAGCTTGAAATCATGTTTTTTGACCGAACATCACATTGAAATCACTTTTGTTGAAGGAAAATCAATTTGATATCATTTTTTGAGGAAAATCACGGTGAAATCACTTTTGCTCGGGGAAAACCACTTTGAAATCACTTCTTTGACGGGAAAATCAGATTGAAATCACTTTTTGGAAGGAAAACCACTTTGACATTTGAAATCACTTTTGTTGAAGGAACATCACGTTGAAATCACATTTTTTAAAGGACATTTTTATTGAATGAAAATCACTTTGAAATCACTTTTGTTGAAGGAAAATCATTTTTTGAAGTGAACATCACTTTGAATTGTTTGAAGGAACATCACTTTGAAATCACTTTTTTGAAGGAACATCTATTTGAAATCATTTTATTCGAGGAAAATGACGTTGAAATCACTTTTTTTGAAGTGACCATCCCTTTGAAATCATTTTTTTTGAAGGAGAATCACTTTGAAATCACTATCTTTCGAGGAAAATCAGTTTGAAATCATTATTCTTGAGTGAAAATCACTTTGAAATCACGTTTTTGAAGAAAATCAAATTGAAACCGCTTTTATTGAAGGAAAATCACTTTGAAATCACTTTGGAATCATTGTTTTAGGAAAATCAGCTTGAAATCACTTTTGCTCGAGGAAAATCAGTTTGACATCACTTGTTTGAATAAATTTAGGGTTCTGACAAAAAACGATTTCAAAGTGATTGTCTTTTCTGATTTGCGATCGAACATCACGTTGAAATCACTTTGAATACCATCGTGAAAAAGTGATTTTGAAGTGTTGTTTTGTACAAATCATTTTTTCAAGCAGTTTATGCGTAGAGGAAAAAATGAGTTTCAAGTGATTTTCGGGAGAGGTCTTTCAGCAGAAGGCGACCCGTCCCCCAATGAACAGAGAGCAAAGGTTGAGCTGGCAAGCGACCTTTGCCAATTAGCCACCGGCCAGCATCTGCCTACGGTTTGGAAGCCAAAAGGGGTTAGACCAGGAGAAACTCGTGTTGTTTTGAAGATTCCCTTTGCGTTGCTTGCCAAAGCCCGTCAAAGCCTCGCAAACCTGGGGCCAGCTTCACACGGGCAACCTGCCCTTCCATCGCCATGCTTCTGCAGGGCAGCAAGCTTGCATCACAGCGGAGAGCCTACTCCCTTTTCGCCAGGAGCCCAAAAAGTGTCAGGGAGGCCTACATACAGTTCAAAGACACATCGTCGGCATTCCTTGTCACAGAGACTGCCTGAATGGGGGGGCGGGTTGGCTTCAACGTTGTCTAAAACCAGTACCCCCAGGCACCACTTGAAATATAATGGCGTTAAAGCGGTTGCACATACCCCCGTTATACTACTGCTAGGGGATGTCTAGGGGTAGTGGAAACCATCTCAGGCGTAGGTCATTGGGTATCCAGTGTGGAATCTATGTAGCTTAATATTGGTGAGGCGCAAAACGCTCCAACTTGTCCCGGGCCTCTGGCAAAGGGAAACTTCCAATGGGAAGATTACAAAGGGAAAGTTCCAATTGGATAGTTTCAATTGGAGAATTCCAACGGACAAATTCCAAAGGGAAACTTCCAATGGGAGACGTCCAATGGGATAATTCCAATGGGATACTTCTACAGGGAAAATACCAAAGGGAAAATTCCACAGGGAAACTTCCAGTACGGACATTTCTAAAGGGAGACTTCCAATGGGAAACTTCCAAAGGGACACATATAAGAAAGCAGGCCTGTACTGTCGGCGGCCTGAGCCGGAGGCGTTAAAATCCGGCTACGCCTCCTGGGGTAGCATGTCGCGCTAGGCAATTTGCCTGCTAGCTTTAGCTATGGGGTTGCACGCCCGCGCCGCCGACATTTCTTTTGGTCGTGACGCGGTGCCTAAATCCGGCACGTCTGCATCACCAGCTCCGGCCTGCGGTTTTGCTTGCCTGTGGGAAACCCGCGCAAAACATCGCGTATATGCAGGGTTTAGGCCGTGTGGCTGACATCATCAGGGTCTGGGGTTGGGCCTGGGTGATGCTTCAGCGGGGCTTGGCCTGCATCCCCATGAAGCATTGTTTTTTAGAAGGTGCCGAAGGGATATAAGCAAGGTTCATTTTCGCGCGTTTTGGCGCCAAGCGCTGGCGGGCCTGCCGGCGATGCTGGGTCCTTGCTCTACAAAACGCGTCAAAAACTGCTATGCTGAGCGTTGGGCTGTTGTTCTGTCCGTTTTGCTTGTTGTGGCTGGCGCGTGCGCTGCGCGGTCCTTGCTTTCTTCTCGTTGGTTTTCGGGCCTTGTGGCGCGCTCGCGCGCGACCCCGGCCACAAAACGCTGCTGTTTGCGGTGTTTTGTTGCGTTTGCGCTTCTGGGCTGGCTTGCGAGCTGTTCTTTTTCGGCTGCTTGTTTTTGGGTTGTGGCGCGCGCGCGCGTGACCCCATGTGAGCCTACTGGGTTGGGGCCCGGCTGGGGCCCAGAAAGCTAGCATCCCCGGCATCATCTGGGATATGTTGATGGCTGGAGTGGGCAAAATGCATACTCTAACCAAGCACGTCATAGCATATCATAGCACAGGATACGTTTCATGTGACATGACATGGTAGATGCTAAACCTAACAAGACATATCATAGCATAGGATACGTTTCACACACAATAAAATGACATGACATGGTATAAAAATGACATGACATGGTATAACGAAGCGGCGTAGCCGGCTAGAGGCCGCAGGCCCAAAAGATTTTCCAAAATCAACAATCAAAAACGGATACTAGCAACCCCCCTCAAATACCCTAAAAATAGACTTCCAAAAGCACGATAATGCAGGGGATGTTTCGCAGTGATTGCTCCGTACAGGTGGGGAATTGCAAAAAACACTAATTTTTGCAAATTTCAACCGTTCCTCAAAGTATCACTGCACTTGCCCCCACCCAGACCCCTAACAGGCCAATTCCAACATTGCTTGAAACAGCAAACGCCACCTGTATCTGCAAAAAAAAGAGAGACAAATTCATGGCAGCAAGATAATCCTGATGATGCTGGGAATGCAGATCCTGCGCGTCCAGGGGAACCCCCTGTGTTTGCTTTACCATTGATCTCCCGCAATCTCTTTGGCTCAAGGCCCTCTTTTCTCACCCATGCATTCACATGGATACATTGAGATAAAAGGCTTGCGGACCGCTTTATAGTCATACATTTATAGTCATACAGCGAATCCAAGCAACCAGGGACAATCCAAATCTCAATATGCCTGGTCGTAGGGATCATAATTTTCGTTGACCATATTGGCCTTTCCGCCGGAACCGCTCTTTGGGAAGGGTTTAAAGCCACCTCGTTGGTGACTGCCCTTTTTGTTTCTGGATTTTCCTTGTCCTTTCTTCTTTCCGAATCTGAAACTCCGCCCAGACACTTTCCTTGCAACGAACGCATCGTTCTCCTCTAAGACCCAGAAAGTCTCTTCATCATTGTTCGCCGTGAACCCTTCGTACCCTTCTTCATCTTCCACCCAGAAGCCTTCTTCGCCTTCATGCTCCCCCTGTTCTAGGATGTAGAACTTATTGCTCCGATATGCCCCAGGAGGTCGGATGGATGGATCTTGGATGGATGTTCTGGTCGTGATGAAGAGATCGTGGTACTGCGTCTTCAGCATCTCGTAGGTCTTCTCCAGTGGGATATTTCTCAAAGACATTGCGCTGATCAGTCTCTCTCTCTGCTGATCTGACAATTCACTCTGGGTGATGAAAAACTGTGAGATGGTTGTCGTTGAGAGGGAATGCGTCCTTGTGTCTTCTCTGCGTGCCGTTGAGGCACTGCCTGAGTACTTCTGGGTTGTCTGCGGCTAGCAGATCTGGAGGCGGTGCCCGTGGCACCTGCTGCTTGCTGGTGATGGGCAAGTCTGCTTGCATTTACCTCTTGAGTCGAGGCGAGAAACTCTGAACGGGCATCAGGCCCATCCAGGCTGTCTTCAGTCTCCTGAGTCGGATTTCGAATTTGGATGTGAATATTCCAGCAAGAGATTCCACAATGTCAATCGATGTCACTGGTAAATGGATTTGGTTGATGTAGTCCCTGTGGGCGTTCCGCAAGTCCTTTTCTGTGTATCTCACTGTCGCATGAAGGAAAGTGATATATACATGTAACTCAGGCCTTGAGCCGAAATGGTTGTTGGGAGGATCAATTGCGATGCAAAACCAAACACACCCCACCCAGCAATCGAACGTGCGCAAACGTGATCCGGCCTCTGCTGGAACAGTCAAAATGTGCGGCTCGCTGCCGCCGCTCACACCCTGTCATAACGCAACTGGCTTCATTCGCTTCATTTGGCCAACCAAAGACAAAGCAAGTTTGTGTTCATCGCGCTCAACAAGCAGTAGGCCGGCAAAAGCAGTTGCTAAAAACGGCGCAGGTCCAAGAATGCGACGCTCAATGCTGGTTTTGGCGCAATGCACGTCCAATCCGAATGCTCATGTTCTGCCTCTGCAACCGAGCTGTTGGCCTTGAGCTGGCTGTCCTGCCACCGCGCGGTGCATGAGATGACATGAACCTGAAGAAGTACCTGGTTAAGAAGGGCTATTCTATTTTGAGACATACCCGAAGGGTAGTGTCTCGAACTTGCAGGCCCCTAGAACGGTCCGTGTCCGTTTAGATCCGTTTAGGTACCTTCTGCGTCTCTGAGAAATGGACACTTTTTGATCTAGCGATGGAAAATCCCCCGATTGGGGAACCCCCCAATTGGGTCAAAGCGTCCCTTGGCCCCAGGGATACAGCTGAGCAGTGTTCTAACCTCCCTTGCTTGGTAAAGACAATAGACCACTCAGGGCAATGATGATTTCAATTATAAATAGGTGGATATTTTCAGTTCTGCGATTCATCCCACCACCACCACCACCGCCGCCGCCACGACTACCACCACCCAGGGATTTTGAACTAACTGTTCAGCTGGGCATCACTTGCTGGTTCTCAGTAGGGAGTGAGGGAACACACCCGCACACCAGCCGCATGGGGTTCCTCAGAAAAATGTTTGGTGGTTTCATCCCCTACTGGGAGCCGGCAAGCCAAATGGGCAACGCACGCGCCAACACCCTCGACACTGCCCCAACTGCGTCGACTGCAAAAAGCAAAGCAACAATGTCAAAGTCGTCTGGAAGAAGCAGACAACAGCACCGGAAAGGGTCACTAAGAGCGGAAGCCTCACAGAGCTCCCCACCCAGCAATCGAACGTGCGCAAACGTGATCCGGCCTCTGCTGGAACAGTCAAAATGTGCGGCTCGCTGCCGCCGCTCACACCCTGTCATAACGCAACAGGCTTCATTTGGCCAACCAAAGACAAAGCAAGTTTGTGTTCATCGCGCTCAACAAGCAGTAGGCCGGCAAAAGCAGTTGCTAAAAACGGCGCAGGTCCAAGAATGCGACGCTCAATGCTGGTTTTGGCGCAATGCACGTCCAATCCGAACGCTCATGTTCTGCCTCTGCAACCGAGCTGTTGGCTTTGAGCTGGCTGTCCTGCCACCGCGCGGTGCGTGAGATGACATGAACCTGAAGAAGTACCTGGTTAAGAAGGGCTATTCTATTTTGAGACATACCCGAAGGGTAGTGTCTCGAACTTGCAGGCCCCTAGAACGGTCCGTGTCCGTTTAGATCCGTTTAGGTACCTTCTGCGTCTCTGAGAGATGGACACTTTTTGATCTAGCGATGGAAAATCCCCCGATTGGGGAACCCCCCAATTGGGTCAAAGCGTCCCTTGGCCCCAGGGATACAGCTGAGCAGTGTTCTAACCTCCCTTGCTTGGTAAAGACAATAGACCACTCAGGGCAATGATGATTTCAATTATAAATAGGTGGATATTTTCAGTTCTGCGATTCATCCCACCACCACCACCACCGCCGCCGCCACGACTACCACCACCCAGGGATTTTGAACTAACTGTTCAGCTGGGCATCACTTGCTGGTTCTCAGTAGGGAGTGAGGGAACACACCCGCACACCAGCCGCATGGGGTTCCTCAGAAAAATGTTTGGTGGTTTCATCCCCTACTGGGAGCCGGCAAGCCAAATGGGCAACGCACGCGCCAACACCCTCGACACTGCCCCAACTGCGTCGACTGCAAAAAGCAAAGCAACAATGTCAAAGTCGTCCGGAAGATGCAGACAACAGCACTGGAAAGGGTCACTAAGAGCGGAAGCCTCACAGAGCTCCCCACCCAGCAATCGAACGTGCGCAAACGTGATCCGGCCTCTGCTGGAACAGTCAAAATGTGCGGCTCGCTGCCGCCGCTCACACCCTGTCATAACGCAACAGGCTTCATTTGGCCAACCAAAAACAAAGCAAGTTTGTGTTCATCGCGCTCAACAAGCAGTAGGCCGGCAAAAGCAGTTGTTAAAAACGGCGCAGGTCCAAGAATGCGACTGCCTAGGTCCAAGAATGCGACTGCCTCTGCAACCGAGCTGTTGGCTTTGAGCTGGCTGTCCTGCCACCGCGCGGTGCATGAGATGACATGAACCTGAAGAAGTACCTGGTTAAGAAGGGCTATTCTATTTTGAGACATACCCGCAGGGTAGTGTCTCGAACTTGCAGGCCCCTAGAACGGTCCGTGTCCGTTTAGATCCGTTTAGATACCTTCTGCGTCTCCGAGATTGAAAAACACTGTGCATTGAAACACAATGTAAATGCCAGTGTTAATGTTTGTGCATTCAGGAAAAACAGTTGTTTTTGCAGAGTGTGGCATTGGTCAAGGCATATAAGATGTGAGCAGATGTTTTGGTGTCGGCCAAGGATATGTACGGTGACTGTTCATGTGTTTGGTTTGCGTGGAGCGTGGACGTGAAGCCAGGTCCCCAAAGTTCTGTCGCGCCTGCGACGTCGCCTCGCTGACGACTTCTCTCTTTGGCTGAGCCTGGATGGGATCGGAAGCTTCGCTTGCCATGTCAATCGAAAATACCTACATTTAAAGAATTCTACAGAAACAGTCTTCTGCAAAATAGGACATGGGGGGAAATCACTCTAAGAGTCAGGGTGCGGCGACTCTAGGCTGATTCCCCTGGGGCCGTAGTTGGGGCTTAATTTTAGACTATTTTGGACCCTCCCTGTAAACATTGTTTTCGCACACTAAAAGGTTCTTTTCTTGGGTCAAAAGGGCCTCATGTGTAGAGTGTCTGTAACACTCACACACAGCAAGCTAGAGTGCCTGTAGCGCTCACAACCAGCAAGCTAGAGTGCCCGTAGCACTCTCAACCAGCAAGCTGCAGCAAGCTTTCATGCCATGTACAGAGTGCCAACTCGCACTCCAAACCTTAGTATTTCAGGCCATGTACAGAGTGTCGCCCACGCACTGACAAGCCTCAGGATTTCACGTCATGTGCAGAGTGACGCCAACGCACTCAAACAGGATTTTGGGCTCTCCCATCTTTCCCCGTAGAAAAAAAATCCAAAAAGACCAGCATCGGCTCTCATTTCTTCACGAAGACGCTGTAGCCAGTGAAGGGGAAGTTCTCGTACGGCTCACCAGCCCAAACACCCTCCTTCCAGGCGGGAGGAGATCCCCTCATCGTTGCTCAGCACGGCGGAGAGAATATGGCTGGTGAAGCTGGCGGGAAAACGGCAAGGCTAAGGGGCGTTGCTGAGGAGGAGGAATGCGAGGACGGCGGTGACAATGCGGTGGTAGCAGGGGCATTGGGGAGAACCGCGTCCAAGCAGCGCAAGAGATGCAGCACCGAGAATCAGTTTCAACACGATCACTCGGGGCTGGGATGGAACATGAAGGTGATGCGGGCAAGGTACTACGAGCAGAATAATGCGGACAAGAAGGGGATTTGTAAAGACCGGTAAATAATCCGGCGCGTGTTTTTCTGAAGACACCGAGGGGGAGCCCGATGTCGTATCCCGGGAGCCCCTTTTTACCCAAGAACATGCTGCTAGAAAAAGAGTAGCGGCTGCCCTAAAGAGCCCCCGAACGGGAAGTTGCCCCTTGCCCCGACTGTTTACTGCAGGTTCGTCGCAGGGCGAAAGAGGCCATGGAAGAAAGGTTCACAACTCCTTTGTTGGTCATATGGGTATGGAATTTAATTGGGGACCCCTTGGTGCGCATCATTTGGGTGGGGATTTATGCAATAGCCAGGCGCTGGATGGACGAAATCCATTTCGCACCAGTTGGGATGGATGAAGCCTGATAAGTACTGGGACAAACCGTCTACCAACTGGCGCAGGAATTTGTCCATCTAGAGTATGGCAGTATGGGTGCGAGTCAAAAACTAGTTGGACCCCTTCAAACGCTGGATTGGTCGATCCAAGTTCCTCTTTCAACAGCTGAAGGATGTCAAGGTGGCCTATCAGCCAAGGGGCTTTCCAGGGATGGGTTTTGGAGCTATGGATGTTAACAAGCACCAACAAAAAGCTTGTAAGGCAGTATGTGCCCCTTATATAAGTGGTATATAACCTCCACGCTTCCTGACACCCATCCCTGGAATTTCCCCTGAATCAGCCAAGCACGCCCTCGGACTTGTCCTGCAATCGCATTCCCCAACTTACGACGCTTGAGGAACCATCACGGCCGGGAAAGCATTTCCCCAGCTATCCTTACCAACTTAGCTCCAAAGCACATGTCCAGTAGTGATAGTTGCTTTTTTAAAAAAATAAATAAATAGGTGAACAGAAAGGCAACTCTTAATAAAATGGAAGCTTGGTACGCTTCAAGTAGCAAGAGAACAGCTGGGGCAAGTTCCATTTGCATAGTTGAGAGTGACCTACTCCCAGTTGCTCCAACCCTGGCTAAAAAAAATGAACCCCTGTTGTGGTTGACCAGGGACCCATCACTGACTTAAAAGGGTGAATCCACCAACCGCCCCTGGCGACCCGGGTTTCGGATTGACGAAAAGCCCTGCCTGCTGCGGATAGGCCCCCAAGCTCTGCACCTTTTCTAAGATGGTCGCTGGGCGCCCGCTGTAATGAATCCTCAGCGGCTTACGTGTCCCTTGGCTTGGGGCTTGGGGTATCACCTGTTGACTACATTTTTCTTGGAGGTTGGGGGGCCAAACGTGATCTTTTGACTACATGTCCCTTGCGGGCTCAAGGTCAAACACCACCTTTTGACTACATTTCCGTTGGGGCGATGTTTAAACAGGACCTAAGACCCCTGGCAACATCACGCAGCTCTACCTCGAGAGCAAGCTACCCGAGCCTAGGATCGTATGGCACATGGGATTTGCCAAATTTGGACTGGGTAACCAATGGCACTTCCAATTCAACAGCGGCCTGTGTGAGTTCAATGTCCCCAAAAAAACGGCAGATTGGGAGCCAGCTTCGGGCTCCGGGGATTCACAAGCCGAGCTCTCAAGATCTCCTGAGAAAAGCTGATAGAAACCAAATGCAATTCGCACAGCGGATCCATGTGGCAGCCAGCCACTAGCTTGGGGCTTGGAGTGAACGTTTTGCTGTGTAAAAAACATAATATGAAGGAACCCCCCCTCCCCCCCCAAATGGGGCTGTGAGGTCAAATTGTTATATAGTTAGGGGAGGAGGCAAAACTCCCGAAGACCTTGTATCAGAAAGTGCCCAAAAGATCTTGGCTTAAGCTTGCTGCTGGGGGGGAGGCCGGGGTGGCCGCTCATAATCAAGCGCCAACATTAATTATGCGGACCCTGGCTTAGGTTGCCCTGCACCTAGGCCTCCCACAGCCGCGTAACGCACCACGCCTTGGCAGTGCATAGGCATGGCCGAAATAGAGGCTCAACCACTTGAACGGTTCCAGAAAGATGCCAGGAATAGTCTTACTTGAAATGGTCTTGGAACTCGGCATGCTAGCCAACTTAGGCAAAAACCCACGCTAATGAAAAATCCCTTGCCTGGCCTTTGTAGTATAGAACTAGGGGTCGGCTGAAGAGTCTACGATGGCAGGGGGTACGGGGTACGAGGGCAGCTGCCTGCAAAATGACTGCGTTCGGGCAAGGATCTTTCTTGTTTTCCCCCAGTGGTCACAAAACAAATGCTGTAATTTTGAAGCTAGAGATCTTTGTCATTGGAGCCGGCTTCAAACCCAAAATTCATTTTGTAGTGGGCGCGTTGGTTCTGAGCCCTACCCGGACTCACCAATGTTTCAAGTCGCATGGGCGCCCACGTTATACGAAACATGCATGAAACACAAGCTCTATCCCTACAACATGCCACACTAACCAAACCTCATGCCTACAACGTGACTACAAAGCCACATAACCAGGCATAATCTCTCAACATGACCCTCAATACAAATCTGAAAAAACAAGAGACATGTAGCCTCTACAAAATGGCGGGATCTTTTGCTCAACCCAATTTATAAGGCCCGACAAAGGCCCTGCACAAATTGCGCTCGACAAAATCGGCGTCGACCTGAGGCGTGACCCCCGATTCAAAGGGCCCCCTATGACAGGACTCTCCATCATGGAGGTCGCAAAATTTCCTTGCGAGGTTTTTGTCATCACAAACAATGACAAGCGCGCAGGCTAGATCTGGCACGTACTGCCCGCCTTTGTTATAGGGGTCCACCAAGTCCAGCATGTTCTGGTCGAGGGAGGCCTGGCAATCCAAGCGCCCAGCCACGTCAACGGGTGTTTGCCTGTGATCCAAGGGCACCTGCCCCTTTGAGCAGCACAAGCACAGGAAAGTATGGAAGTCTCACACAAAAAATAACATGCTTCCCTGGACACGTGCGCGCAAACACAAATGCACAGATGCGAACACATACATGCATACATACGTACGTACATTACATCACATCGCATTACATTACATCACATTACATTACATCACATTACAAGACACACACACACAAAGACGCACAAACACACACACACACACACACAGACACAACACACACACACACACAGGCACACCCAAGCCGCAGGCACCCGCAAATTGAAGAGTCTTGCCCTGCACAAACTTGGCAAATTGTTCGAAGAGCATACAACGCTGCAAACTGACATGTAACCCAAGAAGAGGGGTCCCTAAAACGGAGAGTCCTCTAAAAATATGGGTGTGTGTGTCACAACAGGGGTACCCCAAAAGTGGTGGCTGTTCTTTTGGTTCCCTTTAAACGAGCCCCAAAAAGGAGACCCTCAAAAAGGCACACACCCATATTCAAAAATGTTGTTGTTCAGTTCCCTGGTACTTTGCAGGAAGCCATCCCCTGACTTGTTCAAGCGTAAGTCAGGGCTGAGGTCGCACACCTTGAGCCAAAGCTAACGCACCCCCCTACCTTGAAGATCCTTAAGGGGGAGGGGGGTCACCAAGTTCCATGCAACAGAACTCCAGGCGTGACCCCCCCCCTACCTAATGTGCTTAGTCCTGGGTTCTCATTGCTAGAACTCACCAACCTGAAAAAACAACTTCATCATGCATGAGTCGAGCTTGTTTTGTTCCCAGTGGGCCCACTACAGCCTGTGAAGATGTGTGGGGAAGGATCCGTCTTCATTGGGGGTACCCCCGGTTCCATGCAATGCATGGTTGGGACACACCCTGACACCTCATGACCGCGCAGAGGTACAATCATGAAATTCCGCGTTTCACTCAAAGTGATACTCTCAAAAAACAAGACGATGGTGAACATAAAAACCCTTCCCAAAGGATAATTACTTGGAGAAACCTCTCCCACAAATGGATGTGCTATGATTTCATTTGCTTTTACCAAGTGCACATCCAACCCGTGGCGAAGTGAGATTCAGCCGCAACCCGCACCTCTGCGACACGTTGCGTCAATCAACATTCGATCATGCATGTTTATGTTTGGACGGCCAGCCATCCCCTGGAAAGACCACCGGTGGAGGTTGCTTGCCATGGCTCACGCGCGCACGCTCCCAGCGCATCATCTGCCAGTTCAGGGCTAAGAGGACTTTCTCTTGAATGCCTGCCTGCTGAAACAAGGGTCGACTGCGTTATGCATGCTTGGCACCCAACAACAACAGAAGGGCGCTTCAACAATGAAGTTTGCCCCTCCAAGCTGGCAAAGGGCACCCCCCCAAATAAAATACATGTCTTGCTGTAGGGCGCAGCCACCTGTAACAAAGCAACCAGTCGCACACACACACAATACTTTGATTGGGCAAGGTGGGGATGAATCAAGGCGTCTTCAGGCAAAACTAAACTGGAGTTGGCAACACCCTTGCACACCCTTGCCATTGAAAAACCCACATCTTACCCCGGTTGGCCAAACGAAACAAGCTAAGGCACCTATTCCACGCTGGCAACTTGTGTTGCGGCGCCTTGCGCAAATGAGCCAAAACCAGGGCCTCCTCCAGTGGCTGGTTTCAGGGTTCATTGCAAAAGTACCCCACGTTGGGTTCATAGAAATGTTGGAACGCATTTGCTTGGGCGGTTTCATGCATGTCTCGCCACACACTCCCACAGTTGGGTTCATGACACGGCACATGCGACAATCACCCTGTGCAGGTGACTGGCCTCGGCCTTGGAGTTGTTCCATGTCTCTTCTTCCACCTGGCGCTGTGAGAGACTGGGCAGAAACGAGTTATAACCCTCTTTCCAATCATAGAAGAAAACAGAGGGCTCTTCAAGACACGGTAGTCTTCCAAAACCCTCTTGTCAGCTGTCATTGTGGGAAAAAGGGGAAATGTGATTTCGAATTCAATCGGAGGCCCCTCACAAGCGCCGTCGGATTTATCCAACCCCTGGAAAGGAAACAGCCACTGCCAGACTGCACAGGGACTCCCTTGACTCAAAAAGACATCAGGAATCAGCCCTAGATTCGACCGGCCTTAGATAAACAAGCAAGCAAGCAAGCAAGCAAGCAAGCAAGCAAGCAAGCAAGCAAGCAAGTAAGCGAGCGCGCAAGAACGCAAACCAGCGCCTCTCGATGACTCCAAGGAGGCAGAAGCAGGGGTGCCGAACTGGTGCAAACTGGAGTGCCAGTTGGGCTCCCAACAGGGCCAACGCTTCAAATCGAGACACCCACCAACCCAAATGCGTGAAAATAGTGTTTCATGTTCTGCCTGCCTTGGCCACACAAGGCGGGCCTTCCAAGCACGAGTTGGCCTGAAAGGGCGAGCTTCGCAGACTCTGTGGTGGATGGGCTGTGAGGGGGAGGGGTTGTCAGCTGTGGCAACACGGCCTGTGGCAGCGAAGGGAGTTGACGTAATTAAGGCTAGGGCACCTGTTGAAACACGTTTGGAACCATTGTTTACACAGCCTGATTTTGCTTTCCGGGAGCCGAAGTGGGCTGGTGGGCGGGTATGCGTAGGGCTGACAAAAGATGACGCCATCCACCCCTCAACTGCTTTCTGGACAGCGCTTGGGGTTTTGGAAATTGGAGAAGCAGTTGTTGGGGGGCTGATGGATGACACCAGGGTCGTCTCAAGCTTTGTTGCATCTTTGCGCTTGACAGGCCTATCCCCTGAGAAGTACTTTGGCGGGACGGTTCCATAACAACCTAGCGGAAACTCTCCGGCACAATGTCAACCACGCAAATATGCTGAATCGACCGGCAGGCGTCAGTTGCCAACCTGGCAGAATCGGTCGGAGTTGGGTGGCAAACTGGCCATGCTCATTTTTCCCCGCTCTCCTCAGGCCTACAGCAGCGCAATCCAGCCGGCAAGACGGAGGCGACAAACGCCTCTGCAGCCCTCTACTCTGGGTGGACAAAATCCTTTCGCACCAGTTGGGAGTGGTGGTTAGCGGTTAATCCCAGTATTTATAGGGTTCCATCCATCCCAAACTGGTGCTTGAAGGGACTGTGTAACCATCCACAGTACCCCTTCTTCCCTTGTTTGAAGGGACATCGCTTCAGCTCAGCAAGGCAGCTGGCAGGCCTTTGCCGGCCTTCCAATCGGCTTCTTGATTTAGCACAGAGAGGCGTGAAAACGTTCTGGAGAAAAGCTGGGCTTGCTTTTGACAATGCCCTGTGTGGAAGCGAACCGTCCAGGCAGATCACTAGCCCCAGTTGGCTGGCCAATTGTTTCGCCTGCAGCGTCAGAGACGTCTCAACAACCTTGTTTCATTGCTGTATCCGATGGCTGCAGAATGTTCTGCAAACAAACCCACTGCCTCTTCAACATTTGAAGGGGGAGGCAGTCCTCCCCGCAGGCGAAATTTTGTGAAATCGATGCAATGTCAGTCCTTCAAATTACCCTTGCTTCAGCGGGTTGTAGTACAGGTCCTGCCAACTGATGTCAACAGCAACTTGCCGTTCAAAAAATGAACTAAATGCGATCGCTGGCCACGCATCCCACGCTTGGCAACAGCGGCGCTGTAAGTCGGCAGAACCTTTGTTTACGGAAAACTGATGACCTGCATTAGTTTGCATTCCCAAGCAGGACGAAAGCGGAAGAAGCAAAATTGTCCTTGCGCACGCAGGCAATGGGCGAAACAGATTCTAGTGAGTGAGCCCACGGCCAACCAAATCCCAAAATTCGGGAACTATAAATAGGCCTCAATCATGGTCGGCAAATGAGGCAGCTTCAGGGCACATTCAACCAGAAAAAGATCGCACAGCGCCCCCTAAACCCTTGTCATAAACTCGGACATTGCAGTTTCACTTTGAAGGGGATTGCTAGCGGTCAATGGCCAGCAGCAACAAGGCTCTTCACATCTAGGAAGACATGACAGCACCAGCGACGTGGCACAATACGATAGAAACCAGCCACCGAGCCCTCCCGAGCCCGCCTCGTCATAAACTCGGACTTTTTGGTCATTACCCCCCGCCGCGAGGCGGCCGTCGGGCGCCCAGGCCACGGACCTGATCCCATAGTCCGCATCGGCGAGGGTGTGTGTGAGCCTCAGGTCCTGGCGCCGTGCAGCGCCCCACTGGCCCGTGGCCCGCAGCGCAACGGCAAACCCTTCAGAAGGGGCAACGGTTCCGGCAGAACCCTTCAGAAATTGAAAAGGTACGTGCAAAAATGCGCAAACACAGGCTGCGCTGCAACCCTTGATCCAGAAATTGCCGAAACCAACCAGCAAAGCACCGTGTAAAACCTGCTCATCAGCACATCGGACCTCTTCAGGAACTTCGGGGCCAATACCGCAGCAAAGCAGCGTTTGCATGACAGTCCAAAATCCGTTGCCTTTAAGCCCAGGGTCCGCTCTGCCAATCGTTGCAGTTTCATTTTCAAGGGGATTGCTAGCGGTCAATGGCCAGCAACAAGGCTCTTCACATCTAGGAAGACATGACAGCACCAGCGACGTGGCGCAATACGAGAGAAACCAGCCACCGAGCCCTCCCGAGCCCGCCTCGTCATAAACTCGGACTTTCTTGTCAGCACCCCCCGCCGCGAGGCGGCCGTCGGGCGCCCAGGCCACGGATTTGATCCAACCGTCCGCATCGGCGAGGGTGTGTGTGAGCCTCAGGTCCTGGCGCCGTGCAGCGCCCCACTGACCCGTGGCCCGCAGCGCAACGGCAAACCCTTCAGAAGGGGCAACGGTTCCGGCAGAACCCTTCAGAAATTGAAAAGGTAGGTGCAAAAATGCGCAAACACAGGCTGCGCTGCAACCCTTGATCCAGAAATTGCCGAAACCAACCAGCAAAGCACCGTGTAAAACCTGCTCATCAGCACGTCGGACCTCTTCAGGAACTTCGGGGCCAATACCGCAGCACTGCAGCGTTTGCATGACAGTCCAAAATCCGTTGCCTTTAAGCCCAGGGTCCGCTGCATGTAGCAATCGTTGCAGTTTCGTTTTGAAGGGGATTGCTAGCGGTCAATGGCCAGCAACAAGGCTCTTCACATCTAGGAAGACATGACAGCACCAGCGACGTGGCACAATACGAAAGAAACCAGCCGGCCACCGAGCCCTCCCGAGCCGCCTCGTCATAAACTCGGACTTTGTTGTCAAAACCCCCCGCCGCGAGGCGGCCGTCGGGCGCCCAGGCCACGGACCTGATCCCATAGTCCGCATCGGCGAGGGTGTGTGTGAGCCTCAGGTCCTGGCGCCGTGCAGCGCCCCACTGGCCCGTGGCCCGCAGCGCAACGGCAAACCCTTCAGAAGGGGCAACGGTTCCGGCAGAACCCTTCAGAAATTGAAAAGGTAGGTGCAAAAATGCGCAAACACAGGCTGCGCTGCAACCCTTGATCCAGAAATTGCCGAAACCAACCAGCAAAGCACCGTGTAAAACCTGCTCATCAGCACATCGGACCTCTTCAGGAACTTCGGGGCTAATACCGCAGCACTGCAGCGTTTGCATGACAGTCCAAAATCCGTTGCCTTTACACCCAGGGTCCGCTGTAGCAATCGTTGCAGTTTCATTTTGAAGGGGATTGCTAGCGGTCAATGGCCAGCAGCAACAAGGCTCTTCACATCTAGGAAGACATGACAGCACCAGCGACGTGGCGCAATACGAAAGAAACCAGACACCGAGCCCTCCCGAGCCCGCCTCGTCATAAACTCGGACTTTGCTGTCATCACCCCCCACCGCGAGGCGGCCGTCGGGCGCCCAGGCCACGGAAGTGATCCAATCGTCCGCATCGGCGAGGGTGGCGAGGGTGTGTGTGGGTGGCAAGTCCTGGCGCCGTGCAGCAGCGCCCCGTGGCCACAGCTTGGTAGCCCCACCCTTGCAGCCAGGCGGCATTTCCCGAATCCCAAGGAAGCCATCCGAGTCGCCGCGCATTTTCCTGGCAGTTTGCGGCACTCTGTTGAAAGCAACTTGGTTAATATTATCTGCGCTGATGATCCGTAAGGTCAGAAGCCAGAATGACAGATCGCAAACACAAGAGCATCCCCGCTGACCGGCTTGCGACTTTCGATGAAAGTAATTACACGCCCGGCGTAGACAAGAAACACTAGAGAATCCTGATGAAGCCACGTGAGGGAATACAGGTGCAATATGCTTCAAGACAGCGCTGAAAGCACCAGCGACGTGGCACACCAGCGACGTGGCACAATACGATAGAAACCAGCCACCGAGCCCGCCTTGTCATAAACTCGGACTTTGTGGTCACGACTCCCCGCCGCGAGGCGGCCGTCGGGCGCCCAGGCCACGGACCTGATCCACACGTCCGCATCGGCGAGGGTGTGTGTGAGCCTCAGGTCCTGGCGCCGTGCAGCGCCCCACTGGCCCGTGGCCCGCAGCGCAACGGCAAACCCTTCAGAAGGGGCAACGGTTCCGGCAGAACCCTTCAGAAATTGAAAAGGTACGTGCAAAAATGCGCAAACACAGGCTGCGCTGCAACCCCTTGATCCAGAAATTGCCGAAACCAACCAGCAAAGCACCGTGTAAAACCTGCTCATCAGCACATCGGACCTCTTCAGGAACTTCGGGGCCAATACCGCAGCAAAGCAGCGTTTGCATGACAGTCCAAAATCCGTTGCCTTGAAGCCCAGGGTCCGCTCTGCCAATCGTTGCAGTTTCATTTTGAAGGGGATTGCTAGCGGTCAATGGCCAGCAACAAGGCTCTTCACATCTAGGAAGACATGACAGCACCAGCGACGTGGCACAATACGAAAGAACCAGCCACCGAGCCCTCCCGAGCCCGCCTCGTCATAAACTCGGACTTTGTGGTCATCACCCCCCGCCGCGAGGCGGCCGTCGGGCGCCCAGGCCACGGATTTGATCCAATCGTCCGCATCGGCGAGGGTGTGTGTGAGCCTCAGGTCCTGGCGCCGTGCAGCGCCCCACTGGCCCCGTGGCCCGCAGCGCAACGGCAAACCCTTCAAAGGGGCAACGGGTTCCGGCAGAAACCCTTCAGAAATTGAAAAGGTACGTGCAAAAATGCGCAAACACAGGCTGCGCTGCAACCCCTTGATCCAGAAATTGCCGAAACCAACCAGCAAAGCACCGTGTAAAACCTGCTCATCAGCACATCGGACCTCTTCAGGAACTTCGGGGCCAATACCGCAGCAAAGCAGCGTTTGCATGACAGTCCAAAATCCGTTGCCTTTGAAGCCCAGGGTCCGCTGTAGCAATCGTTGCAGTTTCATTTTGCAGGGGATTGCTTGCGGTCAATGGCCAGCAACAAGGCTCTTCACATCTAGGAAGACATGACAGCACCAGCGGCGTGGCACAATACGAAAGAAACCAGCCACCGAGCCCTCCCGAGCCCGCCTCGTCATAAACTCGGACTTTGTGGTCATCACCCCCCGCCGCGAGGCGGCCGTCGGGCGCCCAGGCCACGGACCTGATCCAACGTCCGCATCGGCGAGGGTGTGTGTGAGCCTCAGGTCCTGGCGCCGTGCAGCGCCCCACTGACCCGTGGCCCGCAGCGCAACGGCAAACCCTTCAGAAGGGGCAACGGTTCCGGCAGAACCTGGAAATTGAAAAGGTAGGTGCAAAAATGCGCAAACACAGGTTGCGCTGCAACCCTTGATCCAGAAATTGCCGAAACCAACCAGCAAAGCACCGTGTAAAACCTGCTCATCAGCACATCGGACCTCTTCAGGAACTTCGGGGCCAATACCGCAGCACTGCAGCGTTTGCATGACAGTCCAAAATCCGTTGCCTTTAAGCCCAGGGTCCGCTGTAGCAATCAGTTTCATTTTGAAGGGGATTGCTAGCGGTCAATGGCCAGCAGCAACAAGGCTCTTCACATCTAGGGAGACATGACAGCACCAGCGACGTGGCACAATACGAAAGAAACCAGCCACCGAGCCCTCCCGAGCCCGCCTTGTCATAAACTCGGACTTTTTTGTCACCACCCCCCGCCGCGAGGCGGCCGTCGGGCGCCCAGGCCACGGACCAGATCCAATCGTCCGCACCGTCGAGGGTGTGCGTGAGCCTCAGGTCCTGGCGCCGTGCAGCGCCCCACTGACCCGTGGCCCGCAGCGCAACGGCAAACCCTTCAGAAGGGGCAACGGTTCCGGCAGAACCCTTCAGAAATTGAAAAGGTAGGTGCAAAAATGCGCAAACACAGGCTGCGCTGCAACCCTTGATCCAGAAATTGCCGAAACCAACCAGCAAAGCACCGTGTAAAACCTGCTCATCAGCACATCGGACCTCTTCAGGAACTTCGGGGCCAATACCGCAGCACTGCAGCGTTTGCATGACAGTCCAAAATCCGTTGCCTTTAAGCCCAGGGTCCGCTCTGCCAATCGTTGCAGTTTCATTTTCAAGGGGATTGCTAGCGGTCCGGCAGAACACGGCGGGACCATTGGAACATGCGGCGGCTCCAAAAATGCATGAGATTATCGGAATACTCAGGCGAAAGCTGTTCTTGGAGAGAGTCAGGTGGTCGTACTCGCCGAAGTCTTACTGGGGCAGCGGCAGTGATTGGGGACTTTGCTCCCAAAAGGATCCTCGCATCCGCACGAGGGACCAAGGACTCCCACGAGAGGCCAAAGGCAGTCGCACATTTGGCCAAAAGCATGCCCTCCAGTCTAAAACTTCTTTTGGCATATTTAGGCATCTTTAGGCTTTGCGACGGCGGAATGCCAGCGGCTGATCTGATCATGCCACTGGTCCGCATGATCAACTGCAGCCAACTTTGAGCTTCGAGACTGTCAGACCACCAGTCATCCAACCACAATCGGTGCATTTGTCTCTGACGTGCAGCTGTGTTTTCTGATGGCGCAAGCCTCTTTCTCGCAAATGTGTATGCAAGAATCTGAAGGTTGGAAGTAGGAAACTTGCAGCATGGCAGCATGACCGTGCAACAATTGCAGCCACATGCGTAGATTCAACGATGCATGGCTAGAGCTGAGGAAGCCGCCGAAAAACGCTGTAGCACTAAAGCTGCCATGCTCATCGGTGAGCAGTGCCCCTCGATGTGGAAATGCCCTGTGAGATCAGAAGCACGCGGGATCAGAAGGACAAAAGCAAAGAGCTGCAGAAAGGCAGGCAAAAACAATAAAGTCAAGATGCCCCAGGACATGAAACAAGACATGCACATGCCACAGGTGCGTTTGCAGAACCAGGCGTCGAACCATCATGAAGAGGCATCTCTAACCTGGCAAACAATCTGTAAACACTGGCCTGGTGAGGCGAGTGGCTGATCTGCGGCCATGGAACGTGAAAAGCTTTGCCGTCAGAGGAATCATTGGCATGCGCGGGCAGAACCAGCTTGCATGGCCAAGCTGCGGATCGACCGGTGGATCCATCTGTGGAATGTTGTTGTAACAAGGCAATGCGAGGCCATTTGCCCATGCCTACGCCTGCGCCGGCATTCGAATTCCTGGGGGGGCGGCCTGCGCAAGATGCGCTCAACTGAACGAGCCTACGTGCACCTACGCCGTTGAAGTTTTGAGCTGAAAGTGCCAACGCGGTGTGCTTTCGGTACAACTCTGCTGCATTTGAGAGGGTGAATCACTTACACGCAGATGGGCAGATCCAGCCCTATAGTGCGTATCTATCAGTTAGCACTTTTTAGCAGGCGGCACAGTTAGCACATCCCTGGGTTGGCCGGAATGCCCCCGTCAGCCCCGAACAGTTAGCACACACCTGCCACGCCCCGAAACCGAAAGGGGCGACCAACAGTTAGCACATGCCTCTCTGGTTGTGGGCAGAGATACGCTTTCTGAAACGAGCAACTTTCGCAATGCAGTACAAGTGTAGTAAAGGAAGTACACTTGGCAGATCCGTCTCAAAAGTCGCAACTTTTCAGTACAAGTGTAGTAAAGGAAGTACACTTGGCAGATCCGTCTCAAAAGTCGCAACTTTTCAGTACAAGTGTAGTAAAGGAAGTACACTTTGGCAGCTCCGGCTCGAAAGCCGCAACTTTTCAGCACAACTGTAGTACAGGAAGTACGCATTGGCAGCTCCAGCCCGGACGTCTCAACTTTTCCGTACAAGTGTAGTACAGGAAGTACGCATTGGCAGCTCCTGCCCGGAAGTATGCTTTGGCAGCTCCGGCTCGAAGGTCGCAACTTTTCAGTACAAGTGTAGTGAAGGAAGTACACTTTGGCAGCTCCAGCTCGAAAGTCGCAACTTTTCAGTACAAGCGTAGTAAAGGAAGTACATGTTGGCGCTCCGGCTCGAAAATCGCAACTTTCCAGTACACGTGTAGTAAAGGAAGTACACTTTGGCAGGTCGGGCTCAAAAGTCGCAACTTTCCAGCACAAGGAAGTACATTTTGGCGGCTCCGGCTCAAAAATCGCAACTTTCCAGTACAAATGTAGCAAAGGAAGTAGATTTGGCAGATCCGACTCGGAAGTCCAGTACAAGCGTAGTAAAGGCAGTACACTTCGGCAGCTCCAGCTCAAGAGTCTCAATTTTTCAGCACACGTGTAGTATAGTGCGTATCAATCAGTTAGCACTTTTTTCCTAGGCAGATAGCACATTACTGTGTTGGCCGGAATGCCCCCGTCACCCCTGAACAGTTTGCACACACCTGCCACACCCTGAAACCCAAAACAGCGGTCAACAGTTAGCACATGGGGCTCTCTGGCTTTGGGCAGGCGAACAGGACATCAAAGGGCTACATACGCTTTCTCGAATGTTCATGGAAGCACACGTGTCAAATCTTCACTAAGCGTAGAAACTTGCAGAACCCAGTGAGCCTATGATGGAGGAAGGGTGTGCGGTCGACTGGCTTACATGGAGTAGTACTTTGTTGAACGTTATTATTGTGTTACAGTGTTATTGAACTTTGGCAGCTCCGGCTCGAAAATCGCAACTTTGTAGCACAAGTCTAGCTACGCGAAGTACACTTTCGCAGCTCCAGATCGAAAATCCCAACTTTGTAGCACACAAGTCTAGCACGCGAAGTGCACTTCCGCAGCCCCAGCTCGAAAATCGCAACTTTGTAGCGCAAGTCTAGTGCGCGAAGTGCACTTCCGCAGCTCCAGCTCGAAAATCGCAACTTTGTGGTACAAGTCTGTGCGCGAAGTACACTTCCGCAGTTCCAGCTCAAAAATCGCAACTTTGTAGTACAAGTCTAGTACGCGAAGCACACTTCCGCAGCTCCAGCTCGAAAATCGCAACTTTGTAGTACAAGTCTAGTACGCGAAGCACACTTCCAAATCGCAACTTTGTAGTGCAAGTCTAGTGCGCGAAGCACACTTCCGCAGCTCCAGCTCGAAAATCGCAACTTTGTAGTACAAGTCTAGTACGCGAAGTGCACTTCCGCAGCTCCAGCGCGAAAATCGCAACTTTGTAGCACAAGCCGAGCACGCGCGAAGAACACAAGTCGCGACTCGCCTTAGCGTTTTACGGCGGCCACGCAAGGGTCCCACCCCAACTAAGCTGCAACTGCAGGGTTATTGTAGAGCCACGTGTTAACTAACGGTTATCGTTTTTGGGGGAGACCTTATCGTTGTCCGTGGCTTTTTGGAGTCGTAGGCCAAAGCGTACCCCCTTTACCAAAGTGGTCTACACGTGTTTTGTCCGTGGCTCTTTTGTGTCCCACGACTTGTCAGGGTGAAAGACAAGAGCTTGCCAACATACAAATGGATTGCCAGGTGCCAAATTCTAGCGCGTTGACGTGTGGAAATCCAGCAATGCAGCTCCGGCTCGCAAGTCGCAACTTTTCAGTACAGTGCAGTCAAGGAAACATACACTTTGCAGCTCCGGCTCGAAAGTCGCAACTTTTCAGTACAAGGAAACTTTGGCAGCTCCGGCTCGAAGGTCGCAACTTGTCAGTACAAGTGCAGTAAAGGAAATACACTTTGGCAGCTCCGGCTCGAAAGTCGCAACTTTTCAGTACAAGGAGATACACTTTGGCAGC